TAAACTAGAGTAACTATCAGACTCTATGATTTCCGCATGATCGTGATAAATGATTGTTTCCAAAGTTAAAACACTGACAGTTGTTGTCAGTTTCTGTTCTGTGCACCTGCTTTTGCCTGTGGTGCCTAAAGGCTATATTTTTGCATAAAGTATTTTATAGTTAGTATCAAGCTAGCTTAGAAAGTAACTGATGCTTAAAATCAAAGGGAAAAAAGGATGAACTTGAGAGAAAAAAGGAGGTATAAACCATATAAAATTATATCCTCTACGATAGGAAAAGAATGTTTCAGGTGAGACTTAGGATGACATATTGAAGGATGTATGAGCTGTAGATTCTTCATCTTGATACTAGCCCAATCTATTTAAAAGCATTGAGCTGAAAAAGCATGATAGTTGAATAGTGAGAAGGTGGTTATTTAATTTCCCAATTTTAGTGCACCTTCATTATTAACTTCATTATAAATTGAGCTAACATAGGTTTTGCTTAGAATGTAAGATGATGCTTGATGTCAATTTTTGTCAAAAACTTTTGCAAGAAATGCTAAGTAAAGGGGGAAAGTTTTTTTTCAATGTGAAACAATTAATTAGATTTTAACTAAATATCATGTTCTCTAGAGTTGCAAAAAAGGATACCTACAAAACAATGACTAATCCATTTGTAATTAAGATAAATTCATATCCATACTATTTTAAATATTTGTCAGTTTAACAAATATTTATCGACTGTATTCATAAAATGTAACAAAAACAAATTCTGAATTTAACTTAAAAAGATACATTATTCTAACAAAATTTTGCATGTTTCTTATTTAATAATGAGTTCCAAATTAATATGATTTTGTTTTTATTTAACATTTCAGAGTTTGATATAAAGATTTTAAGAAATATTTCTATTTAACACTTTACCCTAATCTAAAAAGTCTGATTATGTGAAAGCATGGATACTATATAAATATTTTTATTTTTAATTTTTTTTAGAGACACTGAAAACACTATGTTGCCCAGGTTGGTTGGCCTTGGACTCTTAGCCTCAGGTCCTCCTGCCTCAGCCTCCCAAGTAGCTGGACTACAGGTGTACGCTATTGTGCAGGTTCTTAGATATTTTTAATTTAATGATATGTCATGCATGAGATAGCTACACCATTCAATCTAAGTGTAAGTAAACACCATTCTACATTTTTAAGAATGAAATCAGTATTGTCCACATAAATTTAAAAGATATGGGGGGAAATGGTAGGTGAGATAATTAGGTTTTAATGTAAATTGGACTATCAAAGAAAATTAAAAATGAAAAAAGTGTATATAAGGAGAATAAAGACATTAAGGAATTTGAAGGCTTGGTTAACAAAGGATTATTTCCACTTCCCTCTCTCTCTGATTTGATACTTGCTTCATGACTGTTGACTGAACACCAAAACATAAGACTTCACAAAAAAGTTTATTAGCTTATTAACTTTAACCTTATAAAATGTTTTATGCTTCCTACTACTGCACTTGAGTAATCTTTAAAAAAAGAAAAAGAGAGAAAAAAGTGCTTTATGTACTGTGAGTACTAGACTGGGAATTCTTTGAGGATCACAAACAACAATAACAAAAAGATGGTTTCTATCTTAGAACTCCTGATATTGAGTAGAAAGCCAAATATAAAGTTTCTATAAAATATATTTCCTACCTTGAACTGAACTTATTTCAGGATTATATAATATCATGAAAAGATTTTATAAATATTTTACAAATTTTGTAATATAAGCTAAAAGTAGCTTAAGAAAAATAGAATACTAAGATTT